AGGCGCCTGAGATGGGGGAGAAGAGAGGAAACGACCTGATGGAGATGTATGAGCTGGATGGAAGAAGTATCCGGGGCGGAAATACGGGGCACAAACCAGCAGGAGCGGGCCAAAAGATCTGGCGAATCGTGGGATACACACCGTCGGGCGAGCCATGCATCGAAGAGCACGAACCAGAGAACGGTGGTCCACCAAATACTATGGTTCTTAACCCCTTCAAGGCCCCACATGAGGCACCTGAATTTAGTAGTGCCCATATTGCCGAGGTGGGCCTTGCCCCCCTCGTGGTTAGCCGCGCAGTGATGAGTGATATCGAAGCGGCGACAGCGTACGATGATCGGTTTGCCATTCCGCTCAATGACCATGACGAGCTGAGAAATTTCGACGAGGACGTCAAACATGTCAACCAATTGATTGCCACCACGGTGCGCGAAACCTATGCCAGGCTGTCTGAGATCCAGCATGGAGGCGTTGGCGGAGGAAGTTCGCGACTCGCTAAGCCCTCTGCGGCCTATCAAAGGACATTCCAAGACCAGGAAATCGCAGTGAAGAATCTGTTATTCAGGATAAACAAAAAGAACCAGCGGCTAGTCGCGCTCGCGGCACTACATAGACAGGCTGAAGAGCTCCATGTCAGGGAGAGAATTCGGGCCACTGAGAGCGAGGCAAGAGAAGTTGAGACCAACATGCTTCTTGAGAGGTTGTTTAAGAATAGAGGTGCTGGGGACGCTCGGTCCGTAAGATCAGGGACGGATGGATGAGTGACGGTTTGGTTGGTGACAATGATTTTATGACGGAGTTTTTTTCTTCTTTTTTTTTTGAGTAAATACGTACTTTGCGGAAAGATTATTTTGAGATTTTATATTGGGACTACCTGGCTTCATAAAATTCGGACGAGTGTCGAGCCTCGAGTGATTTTTTATGACTTGTTATCTCTTTCAACGCGGATCGGAACAGATCAAGATTACAGTCATTTTATCAATAAGTACGTAGACCTTCTCCAATACTTAGGTATAAGAAATCACTGAACAGATTAGAATAGTATACCCTATTTACTCTGGGGAACAATTGTTTCTCTGTTCACTTTCTGAAGGCTACGAAGACCATGTTGTTTAAAGCTTTAGAAGTTGACTTTGATATCTAACTTCTCTAACTATTTGACCTTGTGTACAAAAAAGAAGCACGGACCCCACGACTAGAAACCGCATCTCTAGCGTGCAATTGCGCAAACGTAAGGAAAGAGTTCAAAAAAGCAGAAGAAAGATCTCCAACTCCCTAGCTAATCCTAGATCATCCTCCTCACAATCACGAACCCTCTCTTCCTATCCTCCAGCAACGCCGACCCCGCAGTCAACCCATGAGCGGTGCAGTAGGCATTAACATCCATAACGGCCACCCTGATCTCGTTACAGTTGTACTCTATGCCACGCCTCCAGACATTGCGGTCCTTGAGAGGCGGGGGGCACAGCCTGATGTTGGCCGTGCCGACTTTGGTGACCTGCATGCATTGGGTGGCGTCAGAGGCGAGGAAGGGCTTTTTGATAGCGCCAGTGGTGCAGTCTGACCAGAACTTGGTAAGCGCACGGGAAGCGTCTTGGGCGCTGGGCTCGAAGTTGAACTCGGAGACGGTATCTTTGAGGAGGCAGGTGGTGGTTGCCTGGCTGGCGTGCGCGGGGGCAGGAGCGGTGGTGAGGAGAAGGAGCAGGGTGAGGAGGAGGGTGAAGAGGTATGTTTGTTTGTAGTTGCGCATGGTTATAGATGTGACGGTGAGTTGGAGAAAGATTTTTGGTTTTGGTGGTTGGTGGTTGGTGGTTGATGGTTGGTCGGTTTTGATGGTTGTTTTATCTTGGAGGAAGTATCCATGGTGGGGTAAAGATGTAGATATGTAAAAGCTACCGGAATCTATCTTTCTATAGGAAGCTACCCGAGTCCAATAGGACGAGACGGGCAAGTCTAGAATTTTCGCCGCAGATCCGTGACTTGCATTCAATGGCGGCAAATTTCATACTAGGAATTTTTTTTATGAAACACTTGAGACGAAATGCAGCTTCTATTGTCGGTGACTTTCATTTAACTTGACCGGGAATGAGCATGGTTTCATGTTTAAGGATGAAACGGCTTGGTTATGATCCTTTTAAGCCGTCTTGCAGTAAAAAATATTAACCGTCTTTCATGAGAAATAATGCGGTGGATTTTCTAACCAATTGTTTTCCGTTTTTTTAATCTGGGTCAATGGTCCGCCGATTATATCTGTTGTGGCTTTGGGGCCTCCGTATATAGAAATGGGTCAATGTTCATAGCTCAAGAAATGGTCTGAAATGTCAGTAAAAGAAGTAGACACAGGAAAGAGGACGGTTTACCAGTTGACACAAAAAGAAAGGTATTCGAAGCTAGTGTACGCGGCCATGAAACGTATCCTCAATTCTTATTGACACGTTTCATAGATAGCTAGTTACTACGTGGTCACAATCGTACAAGTACTCCCTCAATATTGGTATACGTACATGTATATGTCGATATCACCTATAACTCCTGCCCGTATGAACTATATATATCCCTCTTTAACCCGATGAAGAAACACCACAAAACTCCACCTTCAACATGCGGGAAAGGGCATCCGACTATGGGATCGTTCAAAGTCCAAGTTTTGTTTGATTAGGTGGCCATGGGTCAACAAGAATAGCGAAGGCACCCATCTACTCAAAATTGCTGATGTAATAAAAAGTGCCGCGGATAACCTACGAACTGAGAACGCATGTTATGAATCAATGGAACTACCACGAAGTTACAATCCCCCTGGGTTGAATAAACGAGGCGATAAACCCATGGACGGAGGGTTGAAAAGGGTCTATACCGCAAGCTAGACACCTTACGAGTATTCTTTGAACTACCCCAACCAAATCCCATTGACAAGAAAGGGTACGTCTAATTAAATGATCAGGCAACCGTTGCTAATTCTCTCAGTGCCAGTGGGCAAATGGCCGCTGATCCCCTCCACCATATCCACACTGTTATGTTTATGTTTATTATGTTTAAAGACCTCTCTAGTTCACCAATAGCGACAAGCCATTTACACCAAACCATCCTATCGAGATCCTGGCTATAGCGCCGATGGAGAAATAGGCCGAGTGATAAACCATGATCATCGCGTCATACTCGACAGCCACTCCAACAACCTTGCCGGCAGACAACACAGAAATGTGTACGTACCGGTCCTATCAAACTGAGTTACAGGTATCTCAGCGACCCCCTACCTCAACTAACAAAACGACGAGAATCTTTCCGGGCTTTCCTTACTAGTTACGATGTATCGACCGCTCACGAAATATCACTCGGTCGTCACCTAAGCCAAGCCTTCATATCGCGCCTCTCCCGGTACCGCTAGTCCCGTAGATTGCGTATAGAGGTTTCGATGGCATGGAGGTAGTCCTGTTTCCCGAAAGTGTAGCATCCGAGTAGTGCACAGACAGACAGGCACCTGTGCTGTCAACAGACGAGTCGAGAGCAGCGGATAGATAGTCTGGGAACACACAAGACTCACATCGTCAGCGGAATTAAGTTACGCTCATCCGTATGGGCTTGGCATACCATAAAACTACGACACAACAAACCATGTCACCACCAAATAAGGATATCTTATTCTTCCCATCAACGGCACCCATTCTCTCAGAGCAGAGGCCCGGCGTGGAAGCGAGACGGCCATATAGTAGTTCCACGTTGTTTGTGGTCTCTAGCGGATTCTGTTTAGAGTATGTGTAGCCCATGGCAATTAATTGTGTGCTAGAAATCCTAAATCAGGACAAGTAAGTAATTACCACCCGTCGCCTACGCCATACTACCACCATGCGAGAGAAGGCTATACGTATAAATATTCCCCACTATAAATAATACCCCAAACAAACTCACGCAAACAATCATGTCACGGCGTGACAGAGGCCAGGGCTAGGGCTCAACTAGTTAAGCTAGCTCAAACAAGGATTCCTTCCCTCCTATACTTGGAAACGGCGCGCCGCACAACAACGACGGGTTTGAGATATAGAACAGCCCATTAGAGTTTATCTATATTTGTACTCTATATAACTTAAGCTCTCACACTCACATCATGTACCCATTCTATGTACTCTGAGATGAGATGAGATGATGCACGCACACACACAAAGCTTAAAAACCGGGTTGTGACTTGCCTTTTTGACTACCTATCCTGGATCGATAGGACACCGTTGACATGTCATGATCACCGCCGCCGTCGGGTGTTTCTGGATCAATCATGACGTTCCGATATCCCCCTATCTCTCCACTTTATTTCCCTCCTTTCAATCCGGCCCCTCCCCGCGAACAACAAATCGATTGCACAAGATCACGATGATAGGAGAAGAATGCACAGTTATCGTCAGATGGGTATAACCACTAAGTCTCCTTCCCTCCTCTATTCATTCATTATTAGGTATATTGTACTCCCGTACCCATATAACATAACCACTCCTGAGTCCACTCCAGTCCTAGCTAGAGAGCCCGCCTCCATAGAGAGAGAAAGAAAAAGAGGAAAAGGAAATTCGTGCATGCGTGTAGAGCGTAAACAAGGTCCATGTACAATAAATCATGACTCTGTAGTTATACATGATATAGAACAGGATGAGAAGGATGAGTATGGTTAGGGTGCACCCTCCCCTCACTCACCCGGGCTCACCCGGAAAAAGAAAAGATATACTTTTGTACAACGAAAAACACCACCAACGGAAAAAAAGAAGAAAACGAGAAAAAACACCTGGTCTATAGTTGAGAAGAAATTGAGGGCGCCCTTGAATAAAAGTAGAGGAAAGAATAAAAAAATAAAACACCCGCAATAAACGCTTCAAAATAAAAATGGAAAAAAAAAATAGAAAGATAATACCAAATAACCCCTCCTCCCCACCCCAAACAAAGGAAAAACGGATATCGAGAGTCGCAGTAGTAGTAGTGAGTATGTGATGATGTGTAGTAGTAGTGAAGTGAGAAAGGGCTCAGCAGCTATGCGCATAATCCGGTGGTAGGAATTCCGATATATCTCCGCACTGGATGCCGGTGTAATGCGGTGGGGCTTCGGGGACGTTCTCGTACATTGGGGGGGTCTCCTCGTCCCATGAGATACCGAGGCCGCCGCGGTCAGAGACGGCGAGGCGGAACTGCATCCGAAGGACACGCGCTGCGCCGGTGGGTGTTATCAGGCGGGTTTTGAGTTGTAGGACACTGAATAGCGGGGGAAGATAGTCAGTAAGAGCTGGTTATTTTTCAAGATAAAGATCAATTGATAGATTGGGAGGGAAAAAAACTTACGTGTTCTTCCGCAACGATAAGCTCAATGATCAGATTGTGCGAAACCACGATCCCACACGGCGAGTCGATATCACACGCCGCCTCCGCATGCGCCGGAATCCCCGCCATAAACTGCATCTCAATCTTCCCCCCGGCCGCCTCAAAGTCCGATTTCCAACCCGACTTGAGCTCGCCCGACCCAATTATCCTCGAGTCGTCGTGCAGCAGGCCCTTGCCGTCGCCGCCGAGCTTGTTGCTGTGGGACTTGCACGCCGGCGACACCACGCGGCAGTTCTCGTCGATGCGCCACGAGATCTTGCGCAGCCGCCAGCGGGTCTGCTTCTTCTTTGGCACGACGCCGTCCAGGCGGATCTCGAGCGGGAAGTCGCCGCCGGGGTGGACGACGGGCGGGAGCTTGACGGAGGCGCAGAGGTTGGTGGGGGGGAAGACGCGGATGGAGTGGCGGTCGAGGCCGGGCAGGATGGCGCGCTGGATGGTGATGGGTTGCTTGAATTTGATCTCGTCGCCCTTGACGCTCATGGCCAGGGCGGAGATGCTGTATGTGATCTTGCTGAGGGTGTTGTTATTTGTTGCGGGCAAGTGGCCGGGGACGAGGTAGCTGAAGGGGTAGGTGTGGATACCCTTCTTGAGGACTACGGGCTCGGCGATGAGCGTCCATTTGTGAAGTTCGCTGATGTTGACGGCGCAATCCCGACAATGCGTGCTCACTGGTCGTCGTGTAAGGACTTCGGCCTTAAAGGACATGGTAAAGCTCTCGAATGTTTGCGTCTCCTTGACGTCCAGGTGGACGAGGCCAGACAAGAGCGCACCGGTCGACTCTTTTGGTGTCCCGTAGCAGACGAGGGGCGGTGACTCAATTGTCATTTTTATCTCTGGACTGACCTCAATACTGGCCTTGAGTGTTGATTTTGATGAGCGGAAGGATTCGAGCATGGGGCGGACTCCTTCCATACTAGAGCGGGATCCAGAGAAGCGTCTCTTGGAGTTCCCTTGCTTTGAGGAAAGCGATTCGATGTTTGGTAGGTATATCATTGAGCTTGCTGGTGATGGATCGTCGGGTGGAGGGTGAAGGAGGAGTCGAGGAAATTTATTCCCTTGCGAGGTTTTGCTGGTGAGGTTTCGATATATGGGCATAAAAATGTCGTAAGAAAAACCTCTTTGGCGCTAGCCGTTCCTCAACAACTGAATTAACAACGTGTGCGGGCTGAGGTGGGGCGGGGTGGGACGGCGGACTGCTCGTGGATCAATTGGGCTAGGTAACTTTAGTTGCAATGGCTGAGGTCTTGATCTGGCACTAGTAGCTGTGTGTGGTAAGGTTTGGGTTGGAGTTGAGTAGCTTCTTCTTTAACTGTGGTTGTGGTTGTGGTTGTGGTTGTGGTTGTCGTTGGAGTTGTAGTTGTAGTAGTAACGTTGTAGCTGTAGTGGGGAAGCTAGGAAATAGTAGCCACTGGCAGGGATTGCAATTATTTGGTTGAAGGTTCTGAATTATTTGAGAGATGGATGTGCGGGAAAGCTAGCTGTTTATGAGATCTTCTGTCGTAGCTCTTTTACTTCCAAATCCATCCTCCTCCGAAAAAACCTAGCCCCAAAACCCACGGTAACTCACAGCTGAACAGCCCAGAACGTGTTGGGTGCACAGCCGTTTGTTAATGGGATGTTGTGGTTGTTCAGCTTAGCAGCTGTGGTTGTGAGAGCTGCAGTTCTAAGCAATTGATATGATTGATTGAATGAGTTCACACAGCTTATGTAGTAAGGTACTGAGTGAGTGTGTGTGTGTATGGGAATGGATGTATGTAGTGGATAGTATGTAGGTAGGTCACCCCAACTTGTATCGTAAGTGTAAAGAAGCGGATTGGCAAAGTGAAGTAAAGGCAATCTATTGAAGAGGCAGTAATTCGGCGAGGTTACTGCTGGAGCTATATACTGCTCGATTCCTAACAACCAGCCAGCCGAATTAATGTGAGTTGTGAGTGTGAGTGGAGTGATTGAGTGCAGAGGCCCAAAGAGAGAGGTAGGTAGGTGAGTAAGAAGTATGTAGGTAGGTAGGTAGGTGGTCACGATGCAGTTCAGGCGCTCACATGGTGGGACTGGTTGGGTTTTTGCGGCCATGCCATCCATACCTGCAATACTACCATGCGAAGGCGTTATGTTCTTCTTGTCACCGCTAGCACTACCCCGGGTTTCTCATTACGTATAGAATTGCTCTCCCGCAGCGCTAGTACATTTTCTGGCACATCAGGAAAAAATAAAAGTGCTTGCTGATGTGATGAGTGGTGGGGTCTTGCTTTCGGGTCGTTCCAGACGAAGTAGTTCCTCTTCTGGGATCTTCGTAAACACGATGCTGAAAGGCACCTTTACTTCTTGGTCGTCATTTTAGCTCCCGTGTTTCTGTTCCTCCACTCCACCTCCTCCTCCATGGAGATCCACCTACCTACATCCATCCATCCATACATATGCGTTTAGAGTATGGCCTGCGCATGTGCGTTACGCATTCATCGCGTCTACTTGCAACTACCGCACTCCCATTCCAGGGTTGAACTTCGCATATCCTGCATTCATTTTTCGTTTTTTTTGTTTTTGTTTTACGGAGTGAAAGAGAAAAAATAAAAAAAGGACGACTTGAGATGGATCCCAATGCTAAATCGACGGGTAGACAGGAAAAAAAAACCCGTTTCAGGTCGACTAGCATGGATATGATCGAAGGAAGGAAGGAGGGAAGGTGGCGGCGTCGTTGGAAAACGCTTCCTTGCCTCCCTCCTACTGTGCAGCGCATTCTTGTCAAAAATATCCTTTACCGAGTCTACCAAGCAGCCCTATGGTGCATGTTGATGCGATCGCTCGCCGCCGCTGCCTGTTTCAGCAACCACCGAGGTCCGCCTAGTCTTACATCACCTACAAATTTTTATATGTCCAAGGGCCCGCCCGCCGTCTGCTGGCGGCTGAAAAAATTATTGAGCGTGGAAATTTTCCACCCAAGCCTCACCACGATCAGCCCTGGTCCATCATCCGCAGTTAGTGTATGTATCCAAGAAGTGGGGATATTGGACTGCCTACTATTCTACCACTAGATTAAAGAGCACTTCCAGTGACAGCAAGTGAAGGAAGTGAAGGAACCTTTAGGTTTATTGGAACTAAGCTCTCGATGTGAATCACAGCTTCAACATGGTTGGCCAAGCCGGCTCTTGGATCCTTTGAACTCCGGCTATGGTAACTATGGCGCAGCACAAGTATATTTCTCCATAGAGAGCTTTCTCCTCCAACTGAACAGAAACGGACCAGAAACCAATTCTGCGCAGCCCACGTGTTTTTACACTTTCTCCATTGTTCAGTCCCGCAGCGAATTGTCTTTGAGCTCCCCCAAAGATGCTGGTATCTTCCCCTAGTAGATCCACCTCGCCAGATTGACGGGAATATGTAACAGCACATCTACCATGCACCATCTCGCACTCGGCTTAAAGCATCCCTACTCCATGTATGTACGAGCTCCGTCCCGACCTTTTTGCTTAATGGAATAGCTGCTGTCATATATGAGTATGAGCGCTCGTGCAAATTATCATTGATCTATTTTTTGCGCCGCCTCACACTTCACTGATCGTTGCCGACCACCGACGCGACCCTAAGCATCTTGCATGTTCGGCCCCAGCCTAATTGTGGTTCGCGCAAAAATAAAAAAATAAAATAAAAATTGGCGTCCGTTATTTGTTTTGCATGAAACAAGCGACAACAGCAAGCAACCTTAGCTCCCACTATCCAGGGATGAGAAATACCTACTAAACCCACGTCACGCGCCGCTGAAAAGTAGAAAGCCCCGTAACTACTGTAGACATGAGGAGCAAAGAAGAGGGAGCTCAAAGATACCCTGCCCAACCAAGTGCGCCTCAAGCAAAAAAATTTCGTTTTGTGCGGTCACTGAAAAGTGTAAACATCAACACCAAAACTGAATCCGCCTGGACTGACTGTTAAGGGATATATCGATATTGTCATCAGTGACATCATTTCAATCTGGTCGTTCACGATGGATGAAGATGATGGATAAACCGGTACATGATCCCCTTTTTTCTTATTTGTTCCCTGCTTCGATGAGTGAAAGCTTTCACCAGAGCAAGCTATGGTGTGAGAGGGTAAGAAAAAAGTAAAGAAAACAGACGTCTAGATCGACGGAAATCGAGAGGGGAAAATAGAAATGGCATTTCTCGCTCCCTGACGATCAGGGCCCCCTGCACACCGCACCTTCTTTCCCCGCCGCAACAGGCAAATTGCGGGGGAAATTTCGCTTTCGTTCCAAGGCTTTTAAAAGCAGGCGTAACCAAGGTGGGTGTGATGGTGGAAGAAGGAGCAGGGTGATCCCGAGACCAAAAGGGACCGAAGGCGTAAGGCGATCCTTTTCATTCAGGTGTTGACCCTTGGCGTGTCAAGAGTTTATTTATTTTCCTATCGCACATCTCCGCGGACAGCATCTAGCATCTCGGAGAAAGGTCGATGTAGAGCTCTCTCTGACTTGCCCTTTCAACAAGTCCATTTGGGGATAACTACGTATGCGCTCAATAACAGTTGGATGCTTTACGTAATACTACAAACCACCTCAGTCCAGTTTGCAAACTTTCTCTAAGGGACGCCTCGTAAAAACAGTACAACAATTAGCGTGGTAAACTCAACCGAGCAAATTATCTGTTCTCCCTGGGGCACGGTGGGTTCGAGGGAGGGGCTAACTTACCAAACCTCTAACACTCACTGCAGCCGATGGTTCCCCGCAAGTCTTTAATATAGAGTGACCGTCGGTGACATCCAGAGTACCTACGTATACTAGTAGCTGTTGGGGAATGGTACAGGTGACGATGGTATCCATTGACAGACAGATATCACGATACTTTGAGATTCGAATCGCCGTTCCAAAACCGAAGTCTCCTGCCTTGCGTGTGTGGGGAAGGAAGAAAATTTCTCTCTCTTCCTATTATCCGTTAAAGGATGTGGAGGACAGCGCGTAGGTACCAGTCCCTGTACTTTTTGCTACATTACGAGGTACCTTTTGTGGTTTTCATCGAGTAATGGTACCTACAAATAACTGCTTACTACCTGGTATGAGAAAAGTCACCTCACTCCGCATCGGAGGTACTTTAGAGGCAGTTTGACCCATCAAGGTGGTGTTGAGTGAGGCGAATTCGGCTCAAATCAAGCGGGCAACCAGTCGGTACCGGCCGTCAACTCATCCAGGCGCCTGGAACAGTTCAGAGAGAACAAATTTCTTTCCCTTTTTTTCTTTCTTCACGAGGTTGAGCTAGAGAGCGAGTGCCGAGCTGTGCATGAGCCAGCCACTCACACCACCAACATCAACTACAACAGCTGACCGCCGCATTGACCAACTTGGAAACACAAGAGCCTTGAGAGGGCGAATTGTGCGAATTCAGTGAATTAAGTCTGCGGCGTCGGGTTCGTGGTGCTTGGTCAATCAATCGAAACTGCTTTTCTTCGGGTACCACTACCTTAAAACGTTTTTTCTATAAAATCGGGCATCAATTGGTTATAACGAAAAGCTCGTGCTAATGATGGAATTTTAGCTAATCTGCCTCACACTTGTTCAGTCACGCGTATCTAGGCTGCCGAAACAGTGAGATGCTTATCCGAGGAGCGCGTGCTTGGCAAACCATTGAACCTCTTCCCCTTGAGCCTTCCCCATCGTACAACCAACCCCACAAAGCTTCTATTCACAGGAATATTAGCAATTTGTACAATGTAAATCACAGGATCCGGAAAGGGAACGGCTAGGTTACCCAACATATCGAATTTTATGATCAATTGAGTTCAAAAGGGCGCGCGCAAAGCTACAAGTACAATATCTACAACTGCCGTGAGAAGCTGAGTTACGAATATTAACGGGTAGGTGTATGAGAAAAAGCAATTCCTTCCCGTGGGTGCATAGCATGGTGTGCTATCCTTGATCACTCTACATACAACACCTGGGACAAGGACTTACTGGCTTTCATGAGCTATGCCAAGAATACTGATTTGGCCTTGATGGTAGTCGCCCGGGAGAAATGGTGTCTCTCGGAGAACATTCTAGCTCGTTAGCAATAGTCTTTGTGAATTTCTTTTATTTGGCGCTGTAGAGTAATGGCAACGAGCATGAATCGTCCACGTGGGAGCTTGATCGGCTGTAATTGAGATTAGAACCTGGTCTGCTCTACAGTTCATCTGGATTGAGCGAGATACCTACAACTCAAAGGAGCATAGACTAGCTTTCCTTTTGTCAATTACATATTCCCCCCTTGTTTGGACGATCGCGCCGATAGATTCACAGTTGAATACTTGGAGACACCAGCATGCCCCTGAAGAGGGTATAAAGGATAAAAGTGATACACAGAGCGAGAGGATGAAAGTGGTAGAGTAAGAGGAATATTCTTTGTACCCTCTATAACTACAACGTATGCGTACACTTGTTCCTACTCAGTCACGCTCTTGGCAGTTGTCGAATCACCCTAATGGCAATTCCTGCCACGTTTGTAGCTAGGCAATCGTGTGCAGAGGAGATTTGATGAACGATGAGGTTGGTAGTCCATCTACCATCATTGTTTGTGAATAACTGGTGTTAGGTTTCACTCACACTTGGCACGATTGTGTCCGGCGTTCTGAAAACTCTAATATCAAGACACAAAAACCGGCTACAACAACCGGCTACTTACAACAGCCAGCTACCTACAACAACCACCATCATTCCAAAGTATCAACAGAGTCTCACATCATAATCCGAATATCTCAACTTTCCAAAGCACGATCCACAGTTAATCTGGGCTCAGAACTCCACTCGAACGCCCAGATAGGGCGGTATAAATGTGGATTCAAGGCGAGGCAAGGCAACTTAGTTCCCCGCCGTTCAAGTCCTGAAATCCTGACAGTAAGCAGAATAACTTAGCCAGATGTTTAACTGAAATCAATTGGCACAGACGCTCAATTCGACACACCAATCAATACATTAGCCGCCACATCCCTCATGAAATTGTGCCTGGGATGGGGTTAAAATAGAGTTTATGCAAGCTGTTGAGTAACTCGTTGATCGGAACAAGGGTGTGCTGTCAAAGTAGCATATCTCCGCTTACAACCAATTTACACACCGCACGACCTTATATCGCTACCTTTCTTGAACGCTTACGAGCACACAACAGCGAACAACTTTGAATAGGATCCACAGAGGTGATGGGTGTCGGGCTGTGTCGGGTCGGATCGCTCAGGATGTCATACATATATTATCATCCTTACCGCGCCGCTGGAGAAGTCAGTGTAACCTGAGTACTGGCTACATGGATACAAAGCTCCCAACAGGGTAGATACAGCCAATAATGGCCTATGATAGCTTTGTGTAGTTTCCCGCCTTATACCTCAGGGTTCTACTCAATTGCATACATATATCTGTGCATTCGAGTGGCACGGGCTGTCATGATAGGGCCTGCATAGCGGCGATTTGCGCTTATTTGTTGCAATTACAAGCACAATGCAATAGCCATTACTGTATAAGGACACCCCCGGTGTGACCGTGAGACGACGTGCGTTATTTTCACCGAGATTGATAATTGAATACTAACTTCAGTAATTAGCTTCTGCCATGGCACGTATCGAACTCTCGTCAGATGTTGCATAGAAATAATATTTGTTCCGGGCCGTTTTTATTTGCAGGGGTGGTGTTTGCTGGCCCTAGAGCGTCATCTTCCATATTCGTCCTACTTATCGCATTGGTTTATAGTTTAGGTCTTTCAGGCTAGGGTGTGTTTCAAATCACAATCTTCATTAGGAGGAACGGAATTGTGGAGTAATAATTGTCTTGAAATCTACTAATATTATGATATTGATAGATATATCTGTCACGCCTATATAAAACTCCCACGTGCATCAAAGGTGACCATTTATTCTACCAGCCGATCAGGTCAAATTTGACCGTTTAATCATTTCTCTAACTAAACCCTCAACTGGAGAAGATCTAGAAACCGAGAGCCATTTTGGTACGACAGGATGGGTCTTGTATCGCATAATTGCTTTCAATAGATCTATAGGCCTACTAGGCTTATCCCATCGATACTTTATATATACCAGCTATGACGTTAACCTTCTGCGCTGGGTAGCCAACTCTCAATAGCGAGGGTCGGAATTTGTATGCGTTATAACAACCGTACACTTTTAATAAACTTCACTCATTCAAAAGACACGGAAGAGTTCTTGGTTAAGGTACATCTTTTGCTAGTTTAATGTCTATACTGGGGTTGGGCCAAGGCAAACGGTTTTTGTAAAGCAAACTCAAGTGTTTACCGCTTGGCCGTTCAAATTCTGATGTTTTACTGTAGTTTTGGCTAAGGTTCTGTTCGAAGCTAGGTTGATACTAGTTGGGTGTGTATACCTGAACTAGTTTTCAGTAATGGTGGTTAACTGGACGAATTGAAAGACATAGACTAGGTATCAACAGGCTACACTAGCAGTTTTCACCTCACGATTGTGAATTTCTGCCACTCCTAAGGCCTTGTTTAGCATCTCTCTTCACCATACCAACACCCCTGCCCCAAGAGGTCACTAAATAAACTATAATTACTCGTTTAATCTATACAAGATTTAGCTAGAATCTCGTGATCAACACAGATTATTGATAGCAAAGGATTTCTTAAGAACAAACGGGCCCAAGCGAAACATAAAAAAACCTCTTATTCCCAAGCAAGAAGGTTTGAGAAGTAGCACAAACTTTATTCTAAATCGCGATGCAGACTTAAATAAAGTCTTCCGTGCCTACATGTATATAGTTTAGGTTAGTAAACACGTGCCCGCATATTCTATTAGTGTCAATAAAAACACCGCTCAAACATCAAAAAGATTGCATAGATACTATATAATACGGAATTCTCATCGATTTAATTTTTAGGTGCCGAAATATCTTAGAAATTATAATACACCATGTCTAGGACGATAATTGTCATCATAGGTAATCACTCGGAGATAAATTGCATCCAGAAATTTTTTTTTTTTGTTTAATTCATTAATCCAGAATTTGGTCTCATTGATCTTCATTCAAGACTTCAACGGAGGCTAGAAATTACATTTATATTCTTCATAATCCTGGTATTACAAGTATCATTCCTAGGATCCTAGGCCTATGACTCGCCCCGGTCTGGACTTGTGTCAACATCACACATCGGTTTTATATATATATATATATACGTGCATAGCCTCAAGTTTTGTTTGAGTGTTGATGATGCATATCACGAATTTTAGATTGGAGAAGTTGATTCTACGTTTGGTCAGTGAAAAGAAGAGAAATAGAGAGACTGGCGAGAGGGTAGAACCAAATTCTTGCTCTGACGATCATTGATATTGCAGATCTGGAGCTGTCTTGGCAGTCGAGTGATATATTATGATTTCGAATATGTTTACATACTGAAGCTTTTGGTCGTTGAATATGTTAATTATAGGTTTCGGGAAATGTCAAAATAATAGAACCTGTCCAACACAAGCTTCGATAGATTCGTTATTCAAATAGCGGATGAATGATAGCCGTCTTAGTGCTGCCAAGCCCTGCGTCCCCCAACATCTCTAGCGCGCGTTCCTGACTGATATGTACTGCCATAATGGACAAACTCAGAAATACATGTAGCCTAGCGATTATTTTCAAAACTAGGCCGTTAATAATGTCTTCGCACACTATCTTGCACGCCTGTCCGCATTGATAGCCGGTGCACCGGTGCACCGGCCGCGGTGTACCGTTCGGCGTTGGGCCGCCTGACCGTGGCGGTCTCCTGGTTGCACTATTATCGCTGTCTATCAAATTGCAAAGAGCGTCCCGAAGAATTCAAGCGTGATATGATCCTGTAGGCTCAGCAACGAGGAAGCCTTCATACTAGCACCTTATTCTGTGTTCAGTTTGTAATAATTGAATCATTAGTGCGTGTTCATCGCCTGCGCAATGTGATGCGAGAAGGCGTTCATGTCGATAGTTCAGGGAATATAGACGTACCTGGGATATTCATTCATGATTAACAGGCGTCATATACTTTCTAACATTAGTCTATATCGATATACCAAATATTTCCTAGTGCGATATAACCACATCGATCATAGTCCACGTCCTAGAAATACTGATATTGCCTTTTCAGAAAAGTTAGATTGGGATTTTCTACTCAAGTGCTGGACCCGGATATATATGTAATCATATATATATAATCAACAGTAAATACATAGCTCTGAACTCGTATTTGAGAGCCTCCCCGGCGGTCTGACAGATATCTCCGTCGGCTGTGAGGATGGGCAGGTGAAACTTTTGTCTTACAGATAGTGGTCTTACACCTGTGTCTCAACTCGCTTTGGTGGGTGGGTACGTGTGCCAATTTGAGTGGCAATAAGCCCTTGTAGGAAGAGCCTCATGCTCAAGTAACGACCCACAACTATACTTCAAGCTAAAAGTCGATTTTGGCCAATGAGAATTCAAGATACAAGTTGACACACCTACCCACTAAAATGAGTCAATTGAGCCATAACTGGCCCCTAGCTTTCTATTATCCCCTAATTAAACTATCCTTTTTGTGGGCCAAAAGTGTGGATTTGCTATCAAATTTCTTCAATTATTGAATCTGAATTAATATTCTCTATTTTAAATGAAAATAAAATAAAATGAAAATATGAAAGTTATATGATTAGAGATCACAAGTCCTCACACTAAATATATTTTACCCCTTTATATTTGCTTGAAAGAAGCTCAGACAGTCATCATTATATAATAGAACAAGACCCTTGGCCTCCTTGTCCAATTCTTTTGTCTTTTCACGACTTTCGCTCCCATTGCCCTTGGAGCAAAATGTTTTTCTGTGATTGTAGTTGCAGTTTTCTTGCCGCATGAAGTCACCTCGCGTGGTTTTCTTGACCATTGCATAGTTTTTGAAGATCTCTCTTGATTCCATCTGCTGGAACTGTTAGCTCCCGGGATACATGCATGATTCGAGTGTTTGATATCATAACTTACCTGAATGTCATTGGGAATATGTGCGATTGGTAAGGCAATTCGTCCTCTAGATCTTGTGATCCAGAATACAAAGCCTCTGCACACGATCCTAAGCCATCGTTCAAGCGCTGAAAAAGCCACACGGGCTATATGTATATTTCCCACATCCGGAGGGTCGTCCTCGTTGTGTTGAGAACTACCAGTCAGCCAGGCCGTACTCTGGAATCCTTCCTCTTGGGCATTGTATTCGTATGGATATGTAAATTTGTTGGGTAGCCAGCGCCGGGCTCAGCCGTCCAATTGCCAAATCTGATGGATATTCGTTAATCTCTAGGGTTTCTCACACCGGAATAACTATAGGCAGGATTGGATATGTAGACGCGAGACTACCTTTAAATTTTGGTTTGTTGGCCATAGGCTCGGGAGCGTTTGGTAAGGATCTTTCTGAAAGTGGACTGATCTGGTCAGATTCATCGATATCAATTTTTAGCCATGACGCTTCTAATGCTTGCTTCGCGGTCAATCTTTTCTCCGGCAAGGGTTCATCAAGCTTTTATAAAATCTCTTGCAGCCGAGCTCGCGCCCCACTTTTGCAGTTTTTCTGTCGGAAACTGTGCGTTATTCCCCCGAGCGTAATTGATCAGTTTTCGATTGTCTGGAAACGGGACTTCATTCGTAAACATAAAGTGCAGTAAAGACCCAAGTGACCAGATATCTGCAGAGCTTGTGTACCCAGAGGTCTCGGCATCAGAAAAGCCTAGGACCTCAGGGGCCATGTAACCCCATGTTCCCACTACCGTTCGTAGCTGGGTGCTATCCGAGGCTTGCTTCGTAACGCCAAAATCGGCGACTTTTACTTTAATTGGTGATATCGAGGCCACCAAGATATTCTATTCAAATATTAATTACTTCTACATGAGTAGAAAAGTATCCTGCCGAGAGAAATGTGTTACCTGGGGTTTCAAGTCACGATGACAAAAGTTTTTACTGTGCATAATTTTTAAGGCAGTGAGTAGCTGCCTTGTAATCGATTTTATTTCGTTCTCAGAGATGCTGCCTTGACGGTTCTTAACGACGCCCATTAGGTCGCCATGCTCGATGTATTCCATCGCTAAGTAGATGTTATTTTGGTCCTCATAGCATCCGGATTCGAACAGCTCTACAAAGGAGTCGGGGTACTATATGGCGTATGCATTAGCATAAAGTTGTGCATCAGTAGATACAATGTCGAAATCAATGATCCATTACAGCCTTACCCCTTTCAGTTCTGTCAAGGCATGTCGCTCTCGTTGGTTGAGGGTAGTATTTGCTCTGGAAATTTGTTTCACAGCCCGAACCGCCCCTTGCTCTCCCTTCTCCAGCCATACTACTCCATATGAACCTTCGCCGAGGACTTTTACTTTGACCCATTTCTCCATTTTCGAAGTTCTAGGAGTCTCTATAGTAGTTGTGTGTCCGGGGTTATTCCCAGGATCATAATTAGGGCAGGTATTGTAAAGGTTGGCGTTAGGCTTGTGTAGATGGGGATGTCGGTTTAATGGGTCTCGATCTGACATGTGAATTCTACTAGACAACGCTAATGTCAATGGTATGATCGTAAAGGATTTGATTCTTACAATTACATGTAGTGAGATGCTCACTTATATATTGTCAAATTCTTAGAAGAATTTATACTGAGACAGCTCAGTCAGCGTTGCGCGTTGTGGCATGAGGCAGCGCCCTAGCTCGTGCGCAATATATACGAACCCTTGTACATCATATGTATGTGAAATAGTACTGAATCAAACTACATGACTACATGGTATACTTATGTGAGAACAATTTATAATTAATGCCCAACTCGCTGATCGAGAATGAAACTATGGTACCGTTATATACGGCGAACACGTCGTCATAGTTAATTAAAAGGGACTTGTACGTTGTTGTTCTTAATTAACTCACTGATTGCGTTCAGGTTAATTAAAAGACTGCATGCTTGCATGCACTAGGAAACAAGAAGAAAGGGATTGAAATTCGAAAACCGATACCTGACTAATATAGCTACAGAGGGTTATCTTTATGTGGGTCCCAGTATGAAATCATTCACCGTACTATGTACGCATAGAATCCTCATAATTCAGCTTTTTGGACACTTAATTCTGGGTATACAGTAGGGGCCGTTAATTAATAGCACTATAGTGGGAAAGAAATTTGTAGTATCGACAAGATCTTAAGAGATTTCGTGGTTACCAGAGTAAAAAGCACTAGCTCTGCGGCCCGGATATATATTTTATTTTCTCAACATGCATTGTAAAGAAAAGAATGCGCATGCGCATATTACATACGTTTAGTTGTGAAAAAAAATGGCTGGAGTACGCCGTTTGATGCGGGGGTTTTGGAGGCTTACCGCTTTCTACATGCACCCATACACACAGAAGATACATGTTGTGATAACAGGGCGATCGCGACGCCCGAATAGCTACTGCGTATAGGAAATATAGACAATATATTACAAAATTTCAACAACATACAGTGACTAGAACATCGACAGGCTAACTCTCAGAATTAATATCTTGAACAGTGATCTGACGGACGTCACTATTCGTTCACGGCAAAGACAATCATAAATTCTGACCCTAAAACGGTGGTTTAGTCATACGTGCGCAAACAACAACGTGCGCATTGTTAGTTGTGCGATTAATTAGACGCTAACTGGGCGACTCGTAATCATGGTTCTAAAACGGAGATAACCCGAGATCTACATATCATTGCACGTGGTATACAGTCCTGAGATGTATGTAAATATCTATATCCATATAAACTAATTCACTCATGCTCAAAATTGGAAGATTAATGTTTCAAGGCCCAGGCACATGCAAGACATATCTAGGTTTCCCGATAATTTCGAGAGTGGGTTCCATTGATTTTGTATTTTAGAAGAGCCAGATGTTGTTTCTTTTTTCGAAGATATACCACAAGGCTAACTCTCATCCACCCCCTCCCCCGCCCAATGGCAGATCTCAAGACAACTAATGAATGAATGTATTTATTTCACATCGGTTTTGCAACTTTTCGTTCTTCTATCGCCCCTGTCGATTGTGAGACCATTTCGTGCCAGCTTAACGGGTTGAGTGGATCGCCAGATTCTAATAAAGTTAGATACGTGGAACAAAAAGCAGAAAATTAACTCCAATGTTGATGGCATTGGGCTCGAGGGGAATCGAGGCCTAGCTAGGTTTCATACCTGAATGTGCGACGATAACACCAAGATCATTGCTTGCAGTTGAGAGAAAGTATTTTGACTGGTCACCAAGTGATATCTACAGATAAATTAGACGAGTTACTCAGGAAGAATTATATAGGGGACAGGATATCACTCACAATCCGAGCGCGAACAATGTCACCAGGCCTAAAGCTGGAAAGAATCTTGGCTTTATCTTTCAAGTAAGCTCGTACATCTCCCTTCTGGATTCCCGATTATATTAGCTTTTGATGCTTACCTAGCTCATAGCTTACAGACGTTTGTAACAAACCTGATAATACCTTTAAACTCATCAGTGCAGACTACGTCGCCCACAACAAAAATAGCCAATGTAGCTTCAATGTGGTTATCCTCGTCACCCTTCCCAAAATTATAGCTCCCAATTGTGGTAGAATCCCGTTTTTATTTGTGGAATCGGTACAAGGGAGAACAGACAAGATTTGTTCACGCCCTGAAGATGAGCTAGGGGATAGCTGCGGGATTCCAACGATAGATGCACATATTTCGCGATCAAAGATGTGCACGCCAGTGCCGGGAACATAACGACTTGATGAGGCCAATGGCTGACCTGGAGTAGCAGTTGGGGGAAGCCCCGAAATTGCCATTTAGAAGTTGCGTTTGATGATGGAGATGATATCGAAGAGAGGGTTCTTTGCACGTGGATTTAAGGTTTGTGCGACTTGGACCCTGAATGGACCCTGAATGGACCCTGAATGGACCCTGAACAGAGGCACATGCATATAGGTTCGGCTGCCAAGCCAAGGCTTATTTACAATGGAACCAGGTTTGGACATGGCTCGAATCACAACGGAAAGCTAGGTCGAACAAAGATTATTTATTCGCTCGAAGACAAAAAAACTTGCGATCATCAAATCGCGCTGCCCCAACTCCTACCCACAAACCATCCGTGACGGTAGAGTGGAGGAAACGGGTGTGGTATCTTCTACCGAAGGGGGATATCAAGCACACAACGGAACTAATAAGCAAAGAAAACAAACAATGCAGTATAGCAAGACATCTCCAGGGAGGGGTGTATGGGGAGGTAATCGGGGGTATTAACATAGTAAACAGGAAGTGAAGACAGAATAAAACACGCTAACTAGTAGGTAGATCTAGAGTTGTAAAAAGAATAATAAAAGAATAAACCCGAATCCACGGCAAAATGAAAAACAGCACCCCTGATATGGGCGCATCGCAGAGTGAATAAAGGAAAGGGGGAGGTAATTGCCCCAACCCTTCTAACCGCGAGCCCAATGCCCAACGGCTCCTGCCTTATAACGAATCTTTAGATGATAATAAAAAAGCCGGCACGATGGTGACAATGAGTATAACGAGAAGAACATGGCTGAAAGAGTGATAACGAAAGGGATACTAGATATTTTTTTAGAAGGGGAAGCATTAAGTATCGTCTATAATATTCAGTTTCTTTTGCAGCCACAAGTATTGGCAATACAAGGTTGAAATTTATCGAGAAAAGACCGCAAAACTAAAACAGTGTATGTAAACGAATAACTTTGGATGCTACTCGGGCGTTCATTAAATGGTCGGATATCGTTGCAACCAAATCCCTACTAAGAATTCCGACCATTTAATAAACGCATGAGTAGAGAATGAGATGAAATGAAGAGTGGGCAAGCCATCTATGCAATGCAACCACGAATCACTCCCAATACTTCTTTCTGCTCATTGGCGTTCTGACAAGCACATTGCAGAGTCCCGCCTTCAAAGAGATGAAGCCTCACACTGTGGGGAGTTCTTGCTCATCCATATCTGGTAAATCAACCGATCGAACCTCCGTAGATATGTGATATCTTTTAGTTTGTGGCGCATTCTGTTTCATACGTCAGAGGAATCTCAAATTAAAGGGAATAAAAGGAATTATACCTCATCTTCTGATAAAGACAAGAACAGCCAACCACTTGAATCTATCTTCAAACACCGCCGCCTCCATAACATGGTATCCGGAAGTTGAGCATTTATCCAACCAGCCAAGAGGTATGATTTTTTCGCAGGCTCGGCGGGGGCTACAGGAGCGGGGGCTTGCACATCTTCCTTAGATTTCTTGCCTGTTAAAGCCGCACTCATTTTCTGCAAAAATCCAGGACTCTTTGGTGACTTGGGGGTTGTCGGAGATTTCGACTTGGATCTAGATTTTTCCTTAGACGGCCCTGATCCCCCAGAGCTGGAAGAAGATCCACGCCTTTCCTTTTCTTTCTTACTCTTCTTCGAGCTGTTCGTGTATGTTGATGGCGGTCTTGGGAGGTAGGTGTGGGTTTAGGGCTGGAGCTGGGTGTGGGAATCTTCTCGGGGAGATTTTCTAAGTCTCTTGAACTTGATGATCTAGATAAAATACCCCGACCCCTCTCGATGCTTTGGCCTCTGGAAGATGTTGTTGGAGGGGGCGCTACATCCACACTCCTGCTACGCAGAACTGGATCTTGTGGTGTTATATCCACGCTGGATCTCCGGCTGAAGCTATTGGGGCTTTTAAGCTTTTAGCTGACTCGGGAGCCGGAATTGGAGCTGGAGGTGATTGGAATGATGGATGAGGAGTTCCTTGCTCGTCTCTGGTGATTTGAGTTGTGACTTGCAATTCGGGCCTGTTATTGCGTTCAATTATTCCATCCTGGGAGCAGGACTTGATTTTGGCGGGCTTGATTTCGGAAGTGAAGGCGTTGATATAACTGATCGTAACGAGGACGTGAAACTCCCAGAGGAGTTCCAAGAGTTGAGACAGAAGTGTTGGGAGTGGATGGACGCGATACCGATGATGTTGGCCGCAGAGGAGCAGGGGGAGACATCCTACGCAACGCGACTGGGACATGTACACTAGACGGACGGTTCGGGTGATACTGTGGAATCGGCGGTGTCGGGGAGCTGCCTCGGCTCACAGGGGGTGATTTCCCTGCTGCTGCGGCAGCTTTCTGAACTGACAACATCTCGAGCTGTCGAATCCGCTGTGCCACACCCCCACACCCCCCCGCCTACAGCTTTTCTTGGTCCAGCTGCGGGAGCTGTCGGTTTCAAGAAAGGTGCAGAAACAGAACGGGCTGCCTCAGGAACAGGGGGCTCGTTTATGGGCTCGCTTTCAATTGGACGATCAGTTCTCTTGAGCACCTTTGGTGCCAAGGATCTGGTGACGGGGGTTTGGTCGGGTGTGAGCGAGAACTGCTTTTAATCATGCTAGGGATAGGTTGCTGATAGCTGTCATAGTTACGGGTCTAGAATCCGTCATGATGGAAATTTCGGTGTGATCGGATTCAGTGTCAACATCGGAATCGGGCTCGCCTCGAACCTTTGTACTTTCGGGTGATTGTAGTTCTACTGGTGATTCCGGTAGTTTATCATCCTGCTCCCTCAAGTCCTCTGTTGCATCTCCCGTTTCTGTCTGCTCGTTTACCCTATCCAGTGTTACCCCTTCATTCACCGCGTCTCCACGGGAACTTTCCTCGAGCACATCTACCCCCTCTTGTCCTCCGATAGCTTCGTTTGAATCTGGCTCGACTATCTTCTGGGATACAATCCCACTTTCCCCTTCCTCTCGGTCTTCATCCTCGTCAGTTTCTGCAATGGTGCTAATTTCGTCTGACTCCTTCATACCTTGGATCTCTAGGGCGGCTTCCTCATCCCGTCTCGATTGCTCTTTCAGTTCAGGTTGCATTGTTTTTCTCCTCAGCTGCAAAGCTCTCATCAACCTCTGCTTTTCAGGAGTAAGGGCAGGCTCTTGTGAGGGAACCGGCGAGAGTGATTTTGGTGAAGGAGGTGGTGAGTCCTCAATCTCAATTGAGAGAAATGAGATTGTATCTTGCTCTGATCGTAGAGATTCGTTGGACAAGGACCTATTCCTTGATTCTTTGGATTTTCTTGGAGGAATTTGAACAGATTTAGGAACCGAGACCACGGGTCGAATTTCCTGGTCGGGGCTAGGGAAGGCTTTCGGACGCTCACCAGAGGTATGAGGCCGTTTTACGGGCTCGACGTGGGGACGAGGTCCAAGTCGAACCTTTTCTCTAGGGGTGTATATGTACGGTCCGTATAAATCGGTTGAAGAAGGTCTGGGTGAGGTACCTGTTGACTTTCTTCTGGGTTCAAGTGAGTCTCTCGAAAAGGAGGCGCCTAGGGGGGACCCCAAGAGGTCCCTGTCCCCATCGAGAAAGACGGGTGAGCCAGGTCCGCCATCTGTTATTGACGAATCATGTGCGGTAATCACCACCGCCAAGCCTTGACTAGTCTTCCCTTTTCCATCGATCTCACCGAATGTCACCGGCGAACCAGCGCTCATTACAGCTGTAGGCGGCTCCTCCTCATCTGCAGATTCGGCAATATCCGTTAAACGACGCGCTCGAAGAGAACTATTCGAAGAAGATATCGAAGCAGTTGCAGTATGCGTCGAGCATGCTGACGTCAATGCATTGTCGCGTAGCTCTTTAGGAGTCGATATTGAGAATGTAGTGTCGTTTGGAATGAACCTTTCAGCAACGGATTGAAAATGTACCTGTGATCGAGCTGTGAAGATTAAGGAATGTTATTATTCCGTAAACGGAGAATGAGGTTTTTTTTTGATTTTTTTTTTTTTTAATCTTTGTAGCGACTCACCTTTCAAAACCCGCGAAGTTCCCTCCGGGATATACTTGATCAAGATATTTCGTCGCCTGAATCGAATAAATCCATACAGCGGCGAATCATCTGGCTCCTTCTCTGCTGCTTCTCGCATCTCCTCCGCTCCATTGATTCCCTGACACAGAAGCTCAACATCGTCTCGGGAGGTGTATTTAATCCAAAACCTACAAAGTGAGCACAATACCTGTCAGCAAAAGAGCTGTAGACGGGTTCCACCGAAGAGCATTTTCCCCCTCCATAGAGTGATTGACCATTATCAAGCCAGGGTTGAGAAAGGTATATATTGAAGAAGAAAAAACAGTTGACGTACCAGCTTCCAGGCTCTGCGCATGCTTTTGCAAATGCCTCTGTCAATTCAGGCGTATCCAATCCGTTGAGCGACATGATGCCGCTCTCTCTGGTATAGTAAAGCTACTGGATGGGCGATGGAACGAGCGGAATAGATGTATATAACTGTTTCCGTAGGTTGGTCGTAATAAGTCTATGCTTATGCTCCTGTTGCCTGGGATCACCTCAGGGGTAGAATTTGGTTGGTTTTGGCGTGCCCAAGTAGTAGCCACTACAACCACGGAGGGGGTGGGGATTTCGTTTCGATAATATGTCAACAGGGAAGCCACCGCGGGCACACGATGTCGCGGAGGGGGAAGTGAGTGTATGTAAGAGCGAGCGAAGACAGGTGCCGAAGGAGATCTGACAAGGAGAATTTTCACAACAGTCTCTTCCGCCTAGCTGGCCGACGATGACCCTGTCACTTTTTTTTCCTCTCTCAATTGGCCGAGAGAAGATTAGCCAGTACCTAAAGGGGGACTTTCGGTACTGTGCAGAGACACGCGGGAACAGACAAAGCTTTGTGAGAGCTCCAGACTTACTCACAGTGAATTTCGGGGAGTAACAGACAGTCAAAAGAGGGACAAAAAAGAAAAAAGGGATGAGGGATGATGGACGATGATGCTGATGAACCCCAGCGACACACTATCTACAACATTCAGACTACTGTTTGGATACCTATTCCGAACGGCTGGGAACAGTCAGGGATGCCAAACAGGAACAAAATGCGAAGGAGATGCCTGAACCTGATCGGGTGGGGGGTGGTAGAAGACCTTTTGGCGAGGTGCAGCAGACGCAGGGCGGCAAGCCTGCACCGCACAAAACCCACCGCTACCTGCAGCACCACCCGAGCAGCGAACTATCTACCGTACCTGACTTGCACTTTGATCATTTGCACCTCTAATATCTGACGACGGCTGTCTAATAAAACATTAGCATTCACGATTTTAGATCGAAAGTAGCAGATACCATCTTATCAATAGGATTGCCTTTATCATCAGTTAAATTTGGGCCCATCACGGTCCACCAGCTTTGGCGAATCCCACTCAGACGTTCCATTAGCTCTTGAGCCTCTCTGTTAATAAAATCGCCTCTCGTGGCCCCCCGTTTCTTGGCAGGTGCCCTAACTTCTAAGTAAAGCCTCCGGTGCACCACCGCACAGTCCTCGCTTCTCTCGGGGGGTCTTGTGAATTGTTCTAATACCAATAAATCACATTTCTTACAGAGCCATTTTCCACACATCACCATTCACATATCAAACGGTGCTGCAGTCTACATGTGTAGCGCTGTTTCTCCACCACAAAATAAAACAAGACATACATAATAATGTACTGTCACTGCCATCCTATGGTCCATAGTCAGCTTCTAGAAAAAAAAATATTAACGTCTAATCACTGTCTCACAAGCAATTTGAAATCGGGTTGTCGGTGTCGGGGATAGGTTGGAGTGCGTTGACGTGATATTATTACATGGGAATATCAAGCGCACCAACCGGACATCACCCGAGCGTTGTAGCGACCAAACAATGTCAAACATTGTAAATCATTGAAGCTTAAGTGAACAGTTAACAATAGGATAGGAGACGTTCCTGAAGATCGCCATGGGGAATGTCGCTCAAGTGCCGCTTTAAATTTCTTTCTGAAATTTTTTGCATGTCAGGTAAGAGAAATCACGTTTCTTTACTCAACCAAGAATACAATCACCGGACTAATCACTAAGTGAATGCAGTAATTTATCATGAAGATGGCGGAGAACCTACTTATACCCTTCCGTTTTGATATAACGCCCCCGTTGCCTAAGCTATAACTAATGCACGGCGACGATGAATCCCATGAAAAAAGCTATTTTTTCTCTTCTGCTCTGACCTGTCACAAGAACTCCAAAGATGATGTTAAAGTAGTCTGGAGATGGGCAATCGAATATTCTAGATCTGGGTGTTGCCCGATAACTAGATTCCAAGGAGCTAAAATTGCACCGTAAAAATTTCGGAGATGAAAACTTCAGTAGTTGTACTACATAGCAGTTACTAGAAAATTCAAAACAGTAAGTTTCAGCCGCCGGTGGTAGTCCCATCATAGGACGCGGTTATCGATGACGGGCTGCCGCCGTACGACCGTATCGTGGGAAAAAACAAGTCGACTTCTCTCAATTGCAAATTTTCCTGGACCTGCATATAGTACCTGATATATATTGCATGAAGAGTTTGTTTCTTTTCATTTGCAATACATGCCTTGCAATAATGCACGTGTTGCCCCCTGCATAGAAGCGCTAAAGTTGAGTAGTATCGATTGATATGGACTTCCG